GGTGGGCAGGGGCGGGCGGTACCCAATGAGCAGCCCCGGAGAAGCCGGAATTCTGCCGGCAGAGCCTTTATTGCCAGGGCGTTGTTCCTGCACTTCTTGGCGAAAGGCAAGTGGCACTTGCGGGGTCCCCCCCGCGTCCCAGGGGAGCAGCAGGGAGTGCGGGGCAACGTGCAGGGTGCCCAGGGAGGGAGCGGGGGGCAGGAGGGGGGACAGGAGCCCGGCTCCCCTGGGGTTCCCAACACCTGGCTACAACTCCGGGTGAAATCGCTCTTTCCAGCTCCATTTCCGATGCATTTCAGCAGACAATGTGGAAAGAGCTCCGATTTATTCCTCCTAAATGCTACAGCTCAGCTACACAAGATCCTTTATTACGGTTATTTATTCATTGTCCACGTCTTAAGTGGCCATTTACAGGAACGGAGAGGTTTCCTCTCCCTCTTGCACCATAGGGAATTATTTTTTAAAGAGGCATAGTATAGACTTAGTACATACCATTCACTTAGCATCACAGTTCTCACTTCTACCTAGGAAGGCAAGAAGGCTTGGAGACCAACCAGAAACTTCCATTTGAAGAGCCCAGGGTGGATGCTGCAGCAGTGTAGGGTGGGTTTGATTTCCTTTAACAACCTGAGGTAGGAAAGTGTATTACCTGCACTGCTTACGAGCTCCAAACACCAAATAATAGTAAATAATAACAGTAATAAGTACCCTTGCTGTCAAGTATCTCCTCAGCACCAAAGGACATATGGAAACTCTGAGAGGTGCAATGAGTTTACTTGACAGATCAGAGACTCCTTTGCAGCTGCTGTGTTTTATTTGGTAATACATATTAAGAGATTGGTGCTGCAGACCAACAGGAACATTACTCTGGTCTGTGCAACAGAGCTCAGAGCACCTCTTTATTATAGCTTTGAAATAATAAAGCAATCAGGGGGTGTGTGACAAAGTGACACAACAGCACTGGCAGGCAGACCCTCCCTCCCACTGCAGCATGGCTCCCAGGAGGTCCCTGAGCAGCCCTAGACTGGAAAGGACAAACTTTATGGTGAGCAGAGATGCTTTCAAGAGGTCAGCATTTTTTCCAGGTGCTTTATATGAAGACACACAGCACAAGTATGGTTGGGGAGATAATGTGCTGTTTAATAAAGGTTTTCTTTCTTTCCCCAAGAATTTCCTTAGACACTGGAAGAAGGCTGAGAACTGGGGTAGTTGCTGCTACTTTCTAGCCTCAGAAGGGTCTAGAAGTGTCCAAGAAAGCTGATGAGAGGCAAAAAAGGCACACGAAGTACCATTAAGTACTAAAGAGCAAGGAACCAGAACCTGGGATCAGGTGCAGCCCGTTGCAGCAGGTGGCACATGGAGGGCTGCTGTGGTTTGCTGCCAAAGCCACAGGGAGGCTCTGGACCTTCCCCATTTCCATTGGAATATGGGGAGATTCCTGAAGCACCTCAGAGGGACAGGTGATGGGAATTTATCTGAAAAAATTACCAGTTTAACATGTTCCCTCTAGGCCACATGGGGAAATTACAAAAGCAGCAGCATGAAGTGGCAAGTTGTGACAAAAGAGGAGGGACTGGGACCTCAAGAAGCAACCACAAATTTCTAGGAAACAGGAGGGCCTTGTGGACAGCAGGAGGAATAAAACTGTTACCATGCACCTTGGCAGAGCAGGCAGAGACAGATTTATGCAAGATACAGATTTATGTAAGGTACAGCAGAACTGTCACTCTGCCAAGCACTGCTAACTCCCAGCTCCATGTGGCTAATGCCACCATAACCCCTGACAGATGCTGCTATTGCTCAGGACAAGCTCTGCAGAAACATGGGACATGTTGCTTCTGCAGGGTAGGGGGGAGATCAAAGGTACAGAAGAGAATATTAAACAAGCTGCACTTGCTGTCTCTTCCCTGCCCTGGCTCCCAGCATCAGACAGGAACACAGGAGTCCTTGGCAAGTCTTGCAGAAGTATCCTCACACCTGCTTTGATGTTTTGCTGCCAATTTTAACTTCCAGTGGACCAACAAGACATGAGACAGCTCCTCTTACCCCGCTTTGAGCTGGGCACAGTGTCATTTTCACCTGATGCTTTGGTTAGCCTCCTCACTTCAGGAGTCACTGGGTTTGACAGGAATGTTGATGATGACACTTTACATGTGCCCATGTGTTGATTGTGAGGCTACTGAACCTTACATATTAGAAAGAAAACAAGAATGAAAAAATAAGGCACTACTGAAGATTTTGCACATTAAAAATCCTTTGTTATCAAAATGGAGGTCTGAAAGAGTAGTTTCCCTCTGGCAAGAAGGAAGATAGGCAAAAGACTGTGCCAACCATCCTCTGCAAAGGCAGCTCCCTCCAGTGCTGGGGTAGGACAAACCCAGGCCCTGCACAGGGGCAG